AGCTGCCTCCTGCACGCTCCCTACTGCGGATGGAGCCAGAAACCCGGGCATGTGGCCTGACTGGGAATCAAACCCTGACCTCCTGGTTCATAGGTGGGTGATCCACCACTGAGCTGCGCTGGCCGGGCACCCACCTCACTTCTTCATGGTCTGTAAATGTCGCCTCATCAGAGAAGCCCTCTCACGGCCTCGTGTAAACAGCGAGTTCAGCCAGTCCCGCCGCCCAGCACCTCCTGCCCCGCCCTCTGCTGTTTTCTCCACAGCACTCACCCCACAATGTGTGTCCTATGGCTGTTAATCTATCTGATTGTCGACGTCTGTCTCTCCTTCCCTCCCTTCCACTCTCTCTAAAAGTCAATGGAAATCCTATCCTCCCGAGGATTAACAGCGGCATTTACGTGACTGTCATTCCTCTGCACACCTTTGCTTCACGGGACCTCAGCAGCGTGAGCAGAAGGTGACTCTCAGCCTCCCGTCTGCGTCTCTATCACCTGGCACAGTCCCTGGAAAGTAGGAGAGGTGGGTCCACCTTTCCTGAGGTCACGGGTTGAGATACACAGTTTCGTGAGAGAGACGATTGTTCTGTTCAGAGACTCCAAGGCTGGGAAGGAAAGAGAAAAAAGCAGAGCAGTGGTGCTATTCGGAGGGTGGGTCCCACGTTCCAGACAAGCACAGGGGCGGGGTGCCCACGGGATGTTGCTGGGCTCATTAAACCAGGTTGGTGCCACAGAGCCAGGCGGTCCCCAGCCCATCAGAATGGCTGGCCGGTGTGGCTAAGTGGTTGCGCATCCACCTGTGAACCAGGAGGTCACAGTTCAATCCCTGGTCAGGGCACATGCCCAGGTTTCGGGCTCAATCCCCAGGAGGGGGCGTGCAGGGGGCAGCCGATGGATGTTGATGTTTTATCTCATCAGTGTTTCTATCTCTCCCTCTCCCTTCCTCTCTCTCAAAAAAAATTTAAAACATTAAAAAAAAAAAAAAAAATGGCTCCACCCTAACCCTTTCTTATCGCTGGTCCACAGAAGACTTCATTTGACAACATTCCTGAGCCACAAAACAATGGTGATAACAACTGGTCTACCCCACAGGCCCAGTGAGTGTGTAACCCCCACTGGTTTCCAAGGACGCAGCCCGGCCCCCAGTTTGGGGGAACCTGCCACAAACCCACTGCAGGTCCCCAGATGCCACCACCCAGTTCTGGACATTCCTGTCCTGTGTCCTTTGGCCCCCAGACAGCGATGTCTGAGTCCAGAAACACTTGGCCCAAAGGACACAGTTAAAACCGAGAATCCATCCACCGCTTTATTTCTCCCGAGAGACCTCCCGGCATCTCTGCTTTTGTTGCCGCTCCTGGGAATCAGGTTAATGAGCAGATGAGATCGGTGCCGGGAATTGACGGCCATCTGAACTTTGATGTTACATTTTCACCACTGGCCGCCTCCCATCTGAAGTATTCGCTCCAGGGTTAGAAAGACTCTTCTCTCCGTTCTGTTTACAGCAGATGCTGGGGAGACAGAGCCAAGAAAGGAAAGCAATTATCACTCATCTCCACAGCCTCCCACGGTTCCTCCAGTGGATGGGAAAATACGGGGGAAGCCATACGACCAGCCCCGAAATGCGGCCGCAGTCCTCCCTTAAAGACGCAGATCCTCGGTTCATATTAAATGCTTTGTGTTGAAAAGTGTGATCCATTCCTGCAGAAGCTACAGGTCACGAGAAAGCAAGTGGTGAGGGCTCCTTATCGGTACAGGGCTCAAAGACAGGCTGGCGGGGATGACTCAGTGGTTAGAGCGTCAGCCTGTGCACCAGAGGGTCAGGGGTTCGAGTCCCAGTCAAGGGCACGTACCTGGTTTCAGGTTCCATCCCTGCCCTGTCAGAGTGCATGTGGCTCACACGCTGATGCTTCTCTCTCTGTCCCCTCCCCCTTCCCTTCCCCTCTTTCTAAGAATCACTGGAAAAGATATACTCAGGTGAGGGTTAGAGAAAAAGACACTAGGGAATGGGGAGTGCCTGCCAATGAACACAAGGGGGGCTTGGGGGGGGAATGATGACAGAGTCCTCAAGTTGGGTTGTGATGCTGATTGCACAGGTCTGTGAACATACTGAATTGCCCCAGTCGACCAGTGAGCTGTACAGAGCATTGGTTGGTACGTGAGTGACGTCTCGGTAGAAGTTCTGTGCTCAGATGTGCACAGGGCCCGCTGGGTCACCGGAGATGTAACCAGCCTGTAACAGGCCCTTCTCCAAAGGGCAGAAGCAGGGGCAGGAGAGGGACAGCTCCACGCAGAGCTCAGACAGTGTGTCTGCACCCAACACCTGGCCTCCCCTCCAGACCTTGTGAGCAGCGTGCCCACCTCGGCTGACCGAGATGCCACTGCTGAGGGGCTCAGCCAGTGACACTGGGGTGCTTCTGGGTGTTGGTCTTTCTCCACAGCCCGCTCAAGCCACCAGCAAACCCTCTCTGTAAGTTGTCATGGTCACCTCCACGCTCGCCACACCTGGATCCAGGGGCCAGGCTTTGGTCTCTGTCTCCACACATTGTTTTGCTGACTTCTGTTTTGGCTTCATTCCAGGCTCCAAGGGGACCCCCCCCTTGTGTCCAGGGACACTTTCCGTAGACTGACTCAGATCCTGTGCCTGAGGAACGGAATATGTTGATGGCTGGGAGAGGGGGTTCTTCAAACCAAAACAAGGGTGGCCCCAGCAGAGTAAGGAAAAGTAGACACATATTCGTGGACTTAATGTACAGGGGAAAGGTTTGGGGAGGTATTGACACATGTTTTAGAGAAAGCTGGAGTTTCCCCCAGGAGAGAGGGAGTCAGCTCTCTTCAGTATTCACTCGGTGCTGCAGAGAGGGTGGGACTCTGGAAAGGCCGCCAGCAGTCACAGATCACAGTCCCCCCATCGCACTTTGTGGGTGGCAGTTTTTCCACCGTGTGTGTCACTTCACAACTACTAAGCAGTTGTGTACCAAGTACCTTCAACAGGGGAGAGAACACCTTTCCCACTACCCACTCTAGTTTGTGTTAATAGCCGCAAACACCGGATTAATCAAAAGCCCGTTAAAGTTAACTAGCATGTCACAACATTGTTTCATCCCATCCAAGTCCTCCCAGCAATGACATCCTGGGGTTCTCTTCTGGCAGTGTCAAATAAAAGTGACTGAAGACTGAAACAGTTCTCCCCACATCACTGCCCCAGAGTTACTTCACTGTTGCAAGATTTCACCAAAAATAAAGACGACAGTCTATATAATACGTTGCTATGGAGTATTCTTGAGCGTTACAATGTAACCGTCAGTTTTCCTGGTGACATCTTGGCGCGCGGGCGCCCCCTAGGGACTGGAGCGCAACACACGCCTTTCCTCTCGCCTCAGGGCCCCGCTGGGGGCTGAGAAGCGGGACCCAGAGGAGGGACTTACAGTCTGCCTGGTTCCCCTGCCCACTGCTCAGATGACCGCTCCAGGAAAAGGGGTCACACTGACCAGTGACCAGTCGACCAGTGTATAACCCTGCACTGAACAGAAGCGGACCTGCCACCTCTGGAATCTTTCGAGGCAGAGCCCGGCTCTGATTTCAGAGTGAAGCCGTCTTGGTTATTTCAGGAATAAATGTGACCCTGGGGGATTTCTTGTTTCCTTTAATTTCCCAATGAAATCGGAGACCCTGTTCTTGGCTGTCAAAGCAGATAACACCCAGCTACGAGGAGGGCAGGGGCGGAGGGGGCAGCCAGGACGGCTGTGGCACGGTCCCCGGTGAGCAGGG